CTCAAAGTCTTACACATTCGATCCTTTGTTTTCCCCATATATTTCAATTCAGATGTTACTAAGGTAGCGAATTCCACTTTCACTATGGAGGAATCACTGACTCCGATATGTACAAAATGTTTTATGGGAAATCATTCATATTGATGCCTCAGTACTTGCTCCATTACAGTTACCAGGTATGAGAAGATTCACACACTTGTTATATTTTGGCTGGAATTTCAATTACACCCTTGCACTGCTTCCTCGACATATGAAATAGCTCTATACAATTGTGTACATAGTATAAGTCTTTTTGAAGACTGTAAATCTAGGTACAATGAAAGAAAATGTGAGCTCCTTTCAGCCTTGAATTCGTCTTTCCATATTTATTTTATCTTAACATATAGTGCTATAAAGTTATATAAAATACATTAAGGAAAATGGAAAATAATTCCTTGGGTTAACATTGACATACTGAAAACAGACTTGAAACGAGGAACCACACAGAGCTGCTGCGCTCCATTTCTAGATAATACAGCTGTTAAATAGAATTTTTGTACTAAAAAAAAAAAAAAGGTTTTTACAGTAAGTCTATTGAGGGACAAATGAAGTATTCACCTTTATGTTACACTGCTGTTTACAGGAGGAACTGGTAAATAGAAAAACAGTAGGCCAGCCCAAGATAATTTCTCACTTCCAGCATGTCTCAGTTTGGTAGCAAAGTAGTACGGACAACATAATTATAAACACAGAGGGGTGTCGCACAGTGAACTAGAAAAGGATTTTAATGGCCAGTCCTATTTTCTTTCTCCTCCAATAAAAGGAACACAGGAAAACGTTCACCCTTTGGACGTCCAAAGGAGGGGTAGGCAACACAGCAAATAAATGCAGACAGGCCCAAGAAAAACAACAGGGAACTGTAGACAGCCTGCAGCTCAATAAGCCACCTGAAGCACATTAGGTTCCAAAATAAGTACCAACGTCCATCTGGTAAAACTTAAAAGATTGTGTGAACACAAGATCAGGTGGCAGCCTTGCAAATTTGGGAAATGGTTGCTTGATGCCAAAGATCCCAAAAAAGCACTCACAGATCAAGTAGAGTGCGCAAAGACTAAATGGTGGAACCCGCTTCTTGAGACCATAAGCTTAAATGAAGGTCTGCCTGAGCCACCTAGAGATAGTGAAATGAGAAGCATACACTCTCACAGGGTCCATCAATTACAAAAACCAAATCAGTCTTAAAGGAAGCAGTGGCTAAGATAGACTCTCACAGCCCAAATCACAACCAGGCAATAGAGGGGAATTTCCTTTTGGTGAAATGGACCCAGACAGAGGGACAGGAGAGCAATATCCAGGTTAAGGTGAAAGGCAGAAACTACCTTAGGCAAGAAGGAAGTCCTGGGCTGTTACACCACCTTGTCCCTATGCAAAACCAGACAGTGTTCTCTGCAGGATAAAGCTGCCAGTTCAGAATCTCATCTCGCAGAGGTGATGGCTACAAGAAATACCCTCTTTTGGGTGCGAGTAGAGGAATTTCTTTAAATGGTTCAAACCACGGTTACTAAAGCACAGAGCGAACCAGATTTAGATCCCGTGAAGTCACAGGGGAAAGAAAAAGAGGTGCTATATGGGGAAACTCATTGCTGAGAGGTCTTAATTAAGGAGAGGCCAACAGTCTTTGGAACAAGATAGACAGGTCAGAAACCTGGCACTTGATGGTGCCGAGAGTTAAATGCTGGTCTAGACCTATCTGCAGGAAAGAAAGGATTTGTCCCGCGCAAAAAATCATGGGGGG